CAAATCGACATCGAAGAAGATTACATCACTAATAGTGATGACGCTACTACTGACCCAGCGAGGACAACGATGCTGGTATATTCAGCATCACTTATGACCATGCCAGCGAGAATGACGACACTTTCGCTGAAAAAGGGAGACAGCTCTTAGCAGTACGCACCAAGCGGACTGATACAGACAAAATACATTTAGCAGAGAAATTTCTGTCGACTCGAGAAGCAGTAGTCCGTTTCGTACAAGACTCCGTCGCTAGAGCGGTGGACCGGCAGAAGCGGAACTCTGACGAACATGGTCGATCAAACGTTCTTCTATTTAATGTCCGAGACTCAGTTCCATTGTATACGCTAAATCTACTCTAGCACGTAGTGAATTAAGAGGGTAGTAGTAAGATACTACCCAAGTACATCGGCCCGTTTTGTGTACTACGCCGCAAAGTAAATGCGTACACGATCGAGTTGCCTCGCAGGATGCGCACACATCCTACGTTCTCGGCCATCTCCGCCCGCACAATTACACGAGGTCTCTTCCTCGGGCGAATGCACCCGCCACGCTTAAGAATCTCCAAAAATTTCTTTTGTTCCAGGGTAAGTTTCTCAATCTGGCTTTGCAGTGCCGCATTCTGGCGACGAATGTCAGACACTTTACCGCGAAAAACTTGACGCCTAGTTCTACAATCGGAATAACTCGAGCTCCGCTCGGTCATCAGACGGATAAAGACGGATGCGTCGTACCCACGCATTCAAATAGAGACGCTCCTGTCTCCCTTGATCGGTGCAATCACAAAGATCGCGTAAACTTAGCCGAACACGATTTAGCTCCGTTGCAACTCCAACACATGATTTGGAGTTGATCTTCCCGCCCCCACCACAGCCTTTGGTGGACTCTCACGGTGGTCAATGCTTTCACATGGAGCGTATCTTGAACCACCGTGACACAAAGTGGAGGTGAACGAGTTACCTTGTTCGTGGCACGGATATCCGCTGTCGCACGACAGATGGACATGAGGCGCCCAGCTAATGATTGAAGTTGAGGTTCTCGTCCACCAGTACAATAAGACATATTCCATGGAAAAAAGTGTTATCGGAAACACGCGCAAATGGCGCTGGTAGAACGATTGAAGGTTGACAATCGCATTGCGCATGTCAAAAGAGATGTGGGACCTATCCCAGGGCGAAGATAGGGAGTGGACGTCCCTTTGGCTGCGTTGCGTGTTGTCGAAACATCACGGACATAGGCCGCCCCACGTGAGGCATGGAATTCCGGCATCACGGGACAGATGGTGCAAACTGACTCTTGCAATCATTAAAGCTCGTTTCTCAAACCTGACGCAAGCTGCGTCAGGTTTCCGAAGCCAGGCATCACGTCCATTGTGCTGCACACTGAGTATGAAGGCGTTCCGCGCCTGCAGCAACGGATGTTTTATCTCGTTAGTTTTTGTCTCTGTACCAACGGTGCTTGATGAAAGCATCGAGAGTTCTCTTCAGCTCGAAAGCTTCTCGCGCGGATGTTGAGGCCTTGCATCGAACATTGTGATTCGATGGTTTAGACTTGTCTCGCCTGACACGTCATTCACAAGCCTTCCTTGTAGAACCCAAGACTTTTGTTTAGGGGCTACACGCAGCACATTACCGTCTAGAGCATCGTTTGTGGTTCCAACGGAAGTCTTGATACCAACATAATTGTTATCACGATGTTGCAACACATCATTGCATTCGCCAGGAATTAAATGCGCAGTAGCAGGCGCAGGATTGAAGTCAGAATCCTCCGAGCCAAAAAGGCTCTTGTAATGGTCATGAGCCCGAATACACGCTTGAGTATTATACGTAAGCTCGATTTCGGTATCCTTATGAGAATCAGGCAACCTAAGCGTCTTCTTCGAGTAGGATCCACCGCCCGACTCCCCCGAACAGATGAGTTCCACTTGGCAACCTTTATCATCATTGGCACGTAGTAACACACTACGTGCCTTTGCAGCAACTGTTGATGCAGGAAGAGTTGAAGCAGCAGTAGACGAGGCACCGTCTGCCGCGAGAGGCTGGACATCGTCAAGAGAAGCTGCGTTGACACGCGAAGCTGCCTTCTCAGTAGCTTTCGCCGCGCATTGCATGGGTTTGTTGACCATGCGATGAAGATCCAAAATTGAGTAGAGCAGATTAGGGAAGTGCTTCCTGTCCCTGATGTGGTCTAACGGCGATCACTCCAATGATAGTGACTGAGTAACCATCGATTAAGGGGGGGGGGTGATGTAACGGAGTGAGCCTGTTACATGTAATCAACCTTGATACTTGTAATTAGAATACTGTCATGAAGGTTGTAATGTTCGTGAATATTACCACTATGGGTTCATTTACAAGCACTCATCAATTGGATGATATGGGCCATCATATCGGCCAGCTATAGCGGTCCGATCAACAATGAACGCGCTTAATGAGTAGTGAGCAAGACTTGAGCATACACTTTTGTAGATAATATAGTTAAGTTAGGAATCAAACATAGGTTAATGATTTGGACTTAATTACATTTAATACAGTTTTTGCTTTCTACTCCTATTGAACGCGTCGTTCAATAGATAGCCTTCCTCTACACGTACGGTGTACGTGAAGTGGCGCGCGGCACTACCTACACTGTTGTCGGTGTAGGTGCACTAATACTGAAGCAGTACAAGTGACCAGTGCCTCGTTTCAATAATTGTTTATGTTATTTGTCGTAAGAACTTGTTTGTGCTTGTAATTGTTGATATAGCATCAACACTATCCTCTGTTACTTGTTGGATGGCTTGATATTCCGACAAATGTACGTGGCTGTGTTTAATGTGATCTCAGCAGGAGACTTCGTTCAATTAAAATCTGTCCGATACGAAAGCGAGGAAAAATAACCTATTACGCATGGCAGTGGTGTATACGTCTGTTTAGGTTTACTTGCAGAGAAGTATGTGGGTGTTATTTTGAAGAAACGTTTAATGAAACATAGAAAACGGAACGCGCCGCAGATGATGCTGGAAAATACAACACAAAGACGACGAAGAGGTAGACGATCACAGGTATTGCTAAGCATCCCCAGTGCATTCACTAAATGCGTGCCGCACCATATTAAATCTCTTCGCGATACTCACGAGCAGTGCCAGAATTAGAGGTAGGATGGAAGTCAATTCGATGCCATACTACTTCTACATTGATTTTTTATGCGTTCCTCCTGTTCCGACCATGTGATTGTTAGGTGCGAGCTTATTGTACTCGAATCAATGTGGCGAAATGGCTATTTGATGAACGGCTTGCAACTTCGACGGAAAGGAACATGATTGATAGCAACGTATTTGTTAGTGTTGGAAGTGCATGAGACACTGGTTTCGACTCCAGATATTCGACCCAAGATGGGGTATGTGTAGAATGTTCTTTAGGGTTCTTTGCATTATTATAGTTCGTACAGCAGCTAGATGTATGGATAGTTCTCACTTGTAGATTGACAAACCACTGATGAGGCCTTCGGCGGGGGGCCGAAACGCGTCTGGGACGCGGTAATATACAAGTCGCTTACTTTACTAAACTCCTACTTTTAACAGTTTGTACGATTGTTTATCGTATTTCTTTATCACTCACTAGTCTGAAAAAGCCTACGTCTGATCTTCAAGTTGTTTCGTTTCGCGTCGATACCCCGATAATCACTTTTCGCCTTAGACATTCTATATTACACACGCTGCATCGAATCACCGTGGCTACTCATATACGAGTTCTAATCTTAAAAGTGCGGGTCATCGTAATTACTCGTATCGAGCTACTCGTCTACATGTTACTTAAGTCATCTACTACTCATGAAATGAAGCATTTATGTTAAATCGGTGCTGCAAATTTGATTGATGCAAAATTGATACGATGCAAGAAACAAAGGTAGACATGGTTGTCTTCCATTTGATTGTTGCACCTAGCGACTGAGTCGCTGAATGGGCACATTTAGGACATCGTCCGATGACCTCTTTGTATTGCTCAATTGTAGGAATTGTCTCCGAGCTGAACTAAAACATGTTTTTATTTCTACAAAGCCTAACTTTCCTACTCACTCCAGTAGATAAATTATCGAGCATAAGCATAGGTAAGTACGCTTGCGTACGCGTTTGCGTCCTGGAAGTGCAGAGAGACCGTTGCCTACGATGTTACTATAATTATATTTCAAGTAGCTCTTCCGTCGTCGAGATGAGGGCGACTTCGGAGAACATGCTGACCAATTTCGCGTCGTCCTTCATCGAACGTCAACGACCTTGCTCTTCACTTCATACCAGCAGCTACGATTTTCCTTACTTTCTAACCTGGTAGGTGCTGCTTGCACAATTTGTTGGTTCTTGACGAGCCTTTCCAGCCTAGATTTGGCTGTCAAGTTTGTAAAGGAGCTCATTCTGCGTCTAGAAGCAAGCAGCGAATTAATGCGCAATTACCTAACTTACTCCCAAATCGCTCAAAAGTCATTTGTATCAGGACAGGACGGTCCGCCACCTGCAATGATGCCCCTCTCGGTCATTCGATTTACAGATAAGGGCGCGAGATGACGTCACGGTAAACGACAAATATGAGAACATCCGGAATCTATTCAGTGCCGCGACAGAATTAGAGCATTGGTGGGTAGTACAGCGGCAGGCTATGGCAAAAAGACGCAAAAATCAATGCTAAATAGGTGGAATTACCGCTAATCCGTACTCGATGCTTCTCTCGATGTAAAAAACCGGATTTATTCGTTGCGGTTGAGCGTCTCCCCACCACCCAATCATAAATTAATAATTACGTCTACTGATCCGGGCGTATTCTGGCCATCGGCTGATGCTTTAGCCCCTGTTTTTGTATCTGCTCAGAAAATACCAGATCAAAAAGCAGTCTGGCCGTTGAGGGACGATGGCCTGTCATTTTATAGGTGCGAAACGGACCATTATCTCGGGTCGCCGACTAGGCCGCACAGTGCATTGCTCATTATCCATTTTGCGCTCCTCGGTCTCAAGTCCCTTTCTGGCAATCCCGATGAAGGCGATGAGGTTTATCTTCATCTTCACACTCTGTACGACTGGTTTGCCACTCGCAAGTTATGGCCATACATCGGACGTTAGTGATCCCGCGCTCGCGACACGTAGAACGCACGAATCCAAGAACCACATCGGCTTTCGGCAGGCAAATTCTCTGGCTTTCGATGAAGTGTCGCATGAAGAGAATGCAGAACGTTTCGCTGACATATTCAGAACATCCATTACCAAGCTTGTTGGTGGTCTCCGCCGTTTTGTTGCTCGACGACGGAGAACCAAAATTAAGACGTTCGATGGGGCTATTCCGCCTTCAGCTGAGGTCAAGACGATTGAAGATGTTCACGTGGCCCCGGCAGCTACAGTTGATCACATCAATAGCCCTCCTGTGTTAAGCGATCTCGAGGAGCTCACGATTCCGGTTGGACTACAGGACGACCTTAGAATTATTGCTTATTATGCTGGCAAGGCGGAGGTTCCGGATGAGCTGAACGACCAGATTAAAGCAAAAGCACGACAGCTTGTTCTAAGTCTTCCCATACATAGAGATCCCAGCCAGACTGATGCTGAGCGCGTCAAGATATACCTCCACCTACGATCTCTCTTGGATGCACATGATCTTGCACTCATGCTGGGCTATGCCAAGCATTCTCATGACTCGAAAGCCCTGTTCAACGCAGGAACGATCCAAGTAATGCAGTCTGCTCACTTTTACCACTCTGAGGTAAAACCTGACGAGTACATGCGGCTTCTCACTAATAAATTTGGTGTCAATGAATTCGTGAGAGATTCGTATAAGACGTACAAAACACTATATATGGAGTGGGAACAATCTATTTTCATGAAGCGTAGCATTCCTGCGGCCGAGTTATTTAATAACCAACCAATACGATAGTGTTCCTCTCTGCATGATTGTTTGCTCCGTTGCGCGTTCTTTTGACAGGTCGCAACATAACTTTTTGCGAAAACTGGCCTTGAGTTTATCTTGTTCGATCCATTGCATCTTTTATCAGGCTCTCGTACAGGTGTGTGTTTCTCTTTCTGTATTAGGAAGCTGCCCGATAGAAGCGCGCGCCACTGGCGCGGTAAGAGCGGACGCGAGGAAACACGCATAGGTCATACGTCAGTTTTAACGGGGTGAATCGTTACATAACAATTTATAAGAAATTGTTAATAGAATATAACTATAAGAGTTATATTCTCAGAATATTGTCATAAGGACAAATATTCTGTAGCACTTACGAGTAGTTCCTAATTGGTTGATATAGGCCATTATATCAACCAACGAAGACGCGCCACGACAGACGCACGCAATGAGTGGTGAGCAGATAGTTGATATACACATTTGTATTCAGACATAGTTAGATGAGGATAAATAGTGATTTATTAACAGACATTAACTATGATAAAGACAGTTCTACTTTTTACTTAAACTAAGTACTCGCTTCTTCTTAACGTCTTCCTCTGCACGTCCCAGTGTACGTGAAGTTACGAGGCACCGCCTTATTCTGTCATCAGAATAAGTAGCTTGTACTGTCACCAGTACAAGCTTCAGGGTGCCCCGTTACACCTGGTAGCACTTCGTAGTCCGTCCAAGGACCACGTTCACATCTATCATGAATATGTTGGATGATGAAGATGACCAAAGCTTTCACGCTACGCGTGACGGCTGCTCCCATTTGAGCGATGTCGATGGGATGCGGTTGAACGAATGGGTTCAATCATGGGCATCCATGCTGTTAGCGTCATGCTAGAGGCTCTCAATAGAGATGCCCAACATGCTACTATCGCCAAGTTCATTCAAAATGAACTTGACGCAGAACGCGAGAAAGTAGCCTTGCTTCACCAACAAGGTACCCAACAATCAGATTTGTTGAGAGAACAGGGTGCTCAACAGTTTGAACTGTTGAGACAGCAGCAGGCTGCTGCTGGCGGGTCGATGCACTCGCGTCGACCCGAAACCTTGAAGATTGACATCTCCAAGTATAGGGGGGTCGAAGAAGACTCCCTCTTGAGATGGTTCGTCGAATTGGATGACGCCATGAGGGCGCGTCGCATCGACGACGGGGATATGCAAGTTGCATTTGCCCAGTCAAATCTGGCAGGACGTGCCAAGACTTGGGCACTGGGGCTCAAGTTGCACGACCCATATGCGTTTGGGTCGTTGGAAGTCTTCAAGTCGCGGCTCAGACAAACGTTTGAACCGCCTTGAGCTGAGTTCAGAGCTCGAACCGAACTCTTGAAGCTCAAGCAGGGTAAGCGTGATGTGCACGCTTACGCGCAACATATACGATATCTTACGAGTTGTATAAGTTCCAATCCGGTGGATGAACACACATTGGTTTCGGTGTTCATGCAGGGTCTTGCGGATGGTCCCGTCAAGACTCACCTGTTCCGACTTGAACTAGATTCACTAGAACAAGCCATTTCCATTGCGGAGCAGGAAGACTTCAATCTGAGACAGGCTCGCGCCAGCTCGACATCATATCGTCAACCGAGACGATATGACAGCGGAGGTCCAGAGCCGATGGAACTCTGTTATGTAGAGAGCGAGAGGGCTCGCTCTACAGACTACAAGAAGTTGCAGAGATGCAACAGATGTCAAAAGACAGGACACTACGCTTACGAGTGTAGTGCACCTCGTCCAGTGTCTCGCGACACTGGGCGTAGTGACCGTCCACCCATGAGAAAGGGGCAGGGACGAGGGTCCGCTGTTGGTGCAAAGACGCAACAACGGGATGGACCGTCAAAAAACGGACAGGATCAGTAGGTGCGGAGCACCCTACTGGTCCAGCAACGTCAAGAGAATTTGTAGGCCTCTTGATGAAGTTTGCTCCCAACACACAAACGTTGTGCGTTGCTGCTCTAGGTAATGAGATCTCAATCAATACCTTGAAACTCGAAGTGACGAATAAGTTTTCCCTTCGAGCTCTAGTCGATTGTGGGGCGTCCAACAATTTTGTGCGACGCCAATAGCTAGAAGATGGTCACTTTAAGTTCAGTGAATGTGACACACCTCCTACAAGGATGACGGTACGTCTTGCGACAGGCGCATCCGTAACCGTCATGAAGCGTATAGTGAAGATCCACTATACGCTAGAAGATACCCGATATGACGATGACTTTATCGTATTGGATTTGGATGACAAATTTGATGTCATCCTTGGAATACCGTGGCTCAGAAGGTACGAACCACGAGTAAACTGGCAACATCGAACAGTAACGATGCCTGCCGCTTGTTCATCAGATGGCCATCTGATGAACGTTTTGGAGCGTCCACAAGCGTTTGGATGTACTACGAGTGAGTGCGATGGCCTCACTTGTGGTACGGTCATTAGTACGACTGCACAAAACCTTAGTGTAACAAACGGTTACACTTCGGAGCAAAGTTCCGGCGGCTGTGAGGAAACACAGGCTGCGCCGAAGGTCCACCACTCGAATAAGTCGGGTGGACTGGGACAAAGATGTATCCCTAGCGGGGAACATCTAGAAGAGAAACGATCGATCGCTCAGGTTAAGCGAAACGATAATCCTAGATCGACTGGAGAGTCTTTCGTAGATGATCTCGCTGTGGTTGAGCAACCCCAGCTAGAGGAAGTAAAGGGAATAAGTCCCAAGATTACAAATACGGCGGAAATAAGTTCCCCGAAACCCGCGGGAATAAGTCCCCGGGAAGCCGAAGGAATCAGTCCTTCGAGGCCTGAGGGAATAAGTCCCCAGGAAATGACAGAGACATTGAATGTCCTAGTCAATGACGGATCAAGTGTAGGCGCTTATGCACTTGATCTGATTGCGCCTCCGAAGTTAACTTCGGAGATCACTCAGTTGCCAACACTCGAACATAAAAGGTTCTTGCGTGATCTGCGCAGTGGCAAAGTCAAGCAGATCTGCGTACTCGTCGCTGACGACGAGTGTGTAACCGACATAAGGTCAGCAACAGTGTTTACTGAGAACGAGAGAGTTCTCAGTAGTTCATCTATGGACGAGAGTGTCCTCGATGAAAAGACACGAATTGAGCGATATGACTCCCAATCGTGGGAATCGCTCAAGACAAATCCTCTCTATGAAGATTTGGTTGAATTCAAGGATATATTCCCTGAAACTGTTCCGTGCGAGTTACCGAAGGATAAAGGTATTCGACACGAGGCCGAGCTTAAACCAGGCTCGTAGTACTGTGTCATGAAGCAGTGGCCACTGCCTCGTGAACAAGTACTTGCGATCGACAATCTCTTTGCCGATCGTTTAGCTGCGGGCCATGTGAGAAAATCAACTTCCCCACATAGCTCTCCGACCTTCTGTGTGCAAAAAGCAACAGGAGGGTGGCGGATTGTGCATGCATTTAACAAGTTGAATGCTGCAACGGTACCGGCTCAGACGCCGATACCGAGGAAGGACGTAATCATTGATGGTATGTCAAAGAGTACCATCTTTTCGTCCATGGATTTGATGGATGGCTTCTATCAAATCCTAATGCGAGAACGGGATATAACCTATACCGCAGTTAGCACGCCTAGCGGCATGCTCTGGGAATGGCTAGTAATGCCACAAGGGCTTAGTAGTTCCCCTGCCACGTTCAACAGATGTGTATCACATTTGTTGAGACCAGTACGAGAATTCGCGCCGAGTTCCCCTTTCGATGACGTCTTCATCCATAGTCGGGCTATGGATGGAAAGTCGGACGTTGAGGTTCACAGGTACCACGTCCGACAGGTTCTTAAAATCATGCGAAAGCATCAATTGTATGCAAACCTCAAGAAGTGTTTATTTGCAGCAAGCAAAATACCACTTCTTGGGTGCATCGTTGGTAAGAAGGGTGTACGTCCTGATCCCGAAAAGATCAAGGCGATCACCGAATGGCCTGTGCCGGTTGATGTCAAAGGTATTCGAAAACTCCTTGGGCTAGCGGCGTATTTGCATAAGTATTCACGCAATTACGCCGAGATGACTGTGCACCTCTCTCGTTTGTTGAAAAAGAAGGAGAGGTGGTTATGGAACGCTGAATGTCAGCGCTCCTTTGATGGTATCAATCAGAGCTTGACACAATCCCCAGTCCTAGCAATAGCCGATCAGGACAGGCCATTTCATGTGGTCTGTGATGCCAGCGATTTCGCAATCGGCTGTGCATTAATGCAATACGATCTTGAAGGCGTTGAACGCGTCGTCTGCTATCAGTCGCGTCAGCTGCAACCATCTGAGCGGAACTATCCAGTGCATGACAAGGAACTCCTTGCCATGAAGTATGCACTCGCGAAGTTCAGAGTCTATCTCTTAGGAGATAGACCCTTCATTGTTTACACTGACCATGCGTCATTACGCACGGCAGTAAACAGCCCGCACCTTTCACAACGAATGGCGCGGTGGTTGTCATTCTTTGCGGAATACAACTTTACGGTCGAGTACAAACCAGGACGACTTAATGTCGTCGCTGATGCACTCTCACGTCGTCCCGACTTTGAACCAGTCGTGAAACCCAACAGTGAGACAGCCACTGTTGCGGTAATGACGTCCTCAATACCATCTTCAACGTTACATGATGATGTGAGGCGGGCTTACGCCCAAGATGGTGAGATTGTGAAGTTGTTGACACATCTCTCACAACCATCTCAAGAATCGTTAAAACGATTGTCGTCTGCGTATCGATCTGCATCAGATCGATACACTACTCGCAACGGGTTACTGTATTATACAGCCGTTTCTGGCGACACACCACGAGTTGTCATTCCAGAAGATACTGATCTGCGTTTGCGGATCATGTTCGAGTATCACGATGCTTCTATAGGAGGACATCGTGGCCGTGAGAAAACATATCTCACGGTGAGTCGAGACTTTTACTGTCCCCGCCAGTATCAGTTTGTGCGAAAGTATGTTCGCGCATGCGAAGTCTGCCATCGCGTGAAGTCAAGTCCTTCACTGCGTGCACCTTTACAGCCTCTACCGGTTCCGGCTGAGTGCTGGGAATCCATCTCAATGGATTTCGTCTTTGGGTTACCCAAAGACGCACGCGGGAATACGGGTATTCTCGTATTTGTTGACAGATTCAGCAAAATGGTACACCTTGTGGCTGTACCAGAGTCAATCACGGCAAGTGGCTGTGCTTGTGTCTTTATTGACACCATCTTCCGACTTCATGGGTTGCCCCGTGAACTGGTATCAGACAGAGATCCACGCTTCACTACTGATTTCTGGCGTTCCGTGTTCAAATCACTCGGAACGCGCTTGAAGATGTCTACATCTGATCATCCTGAGTCAGATGGTCAGACGGAACGTGCCAATCGTGTCCTTAAAGAGATACTTCGAGGATACGTACACTCCTTTAAGAGTTGAAGTGAGTTCTTGCCAATGGTAGAGTTTGCCATTAACAACTCGGTGCATGCGTCCACGACACATACACCGTTTTACGTGAATGTATTACGCCATCCGCGTGTACCCACCTTACTAGAGTATAACTCTGGTTTAGGGGGGGGAGACTCGCGCGAGCAAAAAACGATTTGGTTCACGCTCATCACGCTCTGACGAAGAGGTCATTGCGTTTGATGCCGATATTGATACCATCGATATCGAAAAAGATGATGCCAGTGAGAGTACTCAGCATCGATATCGAAGAAGATGATGCCAGTGAGAGTGCTCAGATGTTGCTGCAGTGCGCTCACAGCGCACTGAAGATAACGAGTCATCAGATGAGTTCATAGTGGCTCGTGAAACGGTAGTCCGTTTTGTGCAAGATTCCATAGCCGAAGCGGTGGATAAGCAAAAGCAAAACGCTGACAAGAATGGAAGGGCAAACACTCTTTTATTTAATAAAGGTGACTTAGTCCTACTGTCTACGGTTAATCTACCAAAGCATGTAGTGACTAACTTGGGTAGCAGTAAACTACTACCCAAGTACATCGGCCCATTTCGTGTATTGCACCGCCTAGGCAATGCATACACGATCGAGTTACCACGTAAGATGCGAACGCATCCCACGTTTTACGTTGGTCGGCTTAAGCCGTGCCATCAGTACGCTGCTTCTTCCGATGAAGAACGCCCTTGCGCTCAAGCATCTCGCAGAGAGCCTTGTGCTCCCGATGGTGGGCATCGACAAGGGTCTGAAGAGCAGTTATCTCATCCCGAGACCGATCAACAATCCCACGAGATACCCTTAGCTCGTCACGAAGAGATGTCAGAGATCTCTCGTTCTCAAGCTGAGCAAAGGCAAACTCAGCTCGATGCTTCAAGACAGTGTCCGCCATTTGGAGACGCCTGTCTTGCTCATGTTCGAGATCGCCGCGTAACGCACGAGTTGCGCGATCAAAGAGGCTCTCGGGGACACACGCTACCTCACGATAGTTTGGAGAGCATTTTCCTCCTCCTCCACCTCCATTAGAGGACTCTCGCGGTGGCCAGCGCTATCTTGTTGAGCAGCTGTTGAACCACCGCGATGTGAACGGACGTCGGACGAGTTATCTCGTCCGGTGGCGCGGTTATTCCCCGTCCTGGGATACTTGGGAGCCCCGCTCCCGACTGATGATTGACGTACTGGGTCTGGTTGAGCAGTACGACGTGGCACATCCTGTGCCGCAGAAGGACCGCCGGAGAAAGTCTTCCCGGCACGGTCGTAAAGGGATTTCAGGTTGTCAATCCCTTCGTACATCTCAGTAGAGATACGTACACGGGCTAGTAAGGAGGTAAGCCTCCTTAGGTGAACGCGCTGAGTTGTTTACACAACAAGGGCACGGGTCTCCCCAGGAAAGACAGGGTAACCCACCCTTTGACAGACGATTCAGCTTATAGCGTGCACCTGTCGGGGTTCGCTTTTCAAACTTATCACGAGCTTTGATAAGTTTGTCGTTCCAAGCGTCACGACCTACATCCTCGAGGTTATGGATGTAGACGTTCCACGCCTGAAGTAGTGAGGGACCATCACGTTTGTGATTCCCACTGTACCATCGATGTCTAAAGAAAGCATCGATGAAGAATTCATGTTCAGCGCGATAGTTTTTCGCACTGGGGTCAAGGTGATGGATCCTTGACGAATCGAACAACCGTGTTCGATAACGATCACTCGTCGTCGCCGACAAGCGATCCATGACTGACTTTGGAGGCATCCATGCCTTCTTCTCGGGAGCGAGACGCAACACATTGCGGTCCCGCTCTTCCTGCGACGTGCCGACAGAAGTACTGGCACCTCGTTGCGAAGTGGTGTCCATAGGAGAACCGACACCACTGTTAGCGCCCGATTCTCGCGACCTCGAGCGCCTTCGCTTCGGCGATGGTTCATCTGATTCATCAGATGAACCAAAGATGCTGCGGCACATAGCATCATCCATGCCACGCTTGGCAGGCGGCTTGGATTCGATCGCCGTCGATACGGATCCGTCTTCCGTATCAGGAGAGTACGAGACACCGAGCTCATGCTCGGTGAAGACATGAGTGTCTTCATGACGAGCGCCTGCATCATCAGGTGATACAGGCTGAGTCGCTTCAGCAACCGATGAGACATCAGTTGCTGTAGTTTCTGCTTCGGCGTCCGCACAGAGACGTGCGGACGCGCTCTCGGCGGCCTTGCTCGTGCATCGCATGGGCTTGTTAACCATGCGATGAATTGTTGGAAAGTGGACACGGACCAACAAGTGCAAATCCTGTCCCAAATGATTTGGGACGAGTATCCATTTAGTCAATCAGTCACTAAAGTGACTGATGGTTAGGGGGGGGTGATGTAACGAGGTGAATCGTTACATAACAATTTGTAAGAATTTGTTGATAGAATATAACTATAAGAGTTATATTCTCAGAATATTGTCATAAGGACAAATATTCTGTAGCACTTACGAGTAGTTCCTAATTGGTTGATACAGGCCATTATATCAACCAACGAAGACGCGCCACGACAGACGCACGCAATGAGTGGTGAGCAGATAGTTGATATACACATTTGTATTCAGACATAGTTAGATGAGGATAAATAGTGATTTATTAGCAGACATTAACTATGATAAATACAGTTCTACTTTTTACTCTAACCAAGTACTCGCTTCTTCTTACCGTCTTCCTTTGCACGTACGAGTGTGCGTGAAGTTACGAGGCACCGCCTTATTCTGTCGTCAGAATAAGTAACTTGTACTGTCATCAGTACAAGCTTCAGGGTGCCCCATCACAGATGCGGGCTTTGGGTAGTAGCATGTTTATATAACTCGGGGGAATAACACACAAGTTTTCTGTTACGAGGTTGATAATTTCGCAATGAAACGTCTACACATCAAGAATTTAGCTTTCCGAGAGAAATATCTGGTGGCTGTATTGCAGACAGCGAGCTCGAGCACAAAGTGTCTGTCGCGGGGTGCCTTTGTTACGTGATGATTTTTGTTAGGTAATTGTAAAGTATGAATGTTATGGTAGGACAAAACATGTTGTTCTCACAATATTATCCGGATTGAGATTTTTGATTCGCAAATGATACACACTGCCCATTAGATGATATGGAATCGAGATACTAACCGATGAAGTCTGTCCACGACAGAAGCGCGCAATGAGTGGTGCGCAGATAGTTACACACATGTTTATATTCAATCATTATTAAATGGAGTCACATAAGTATTTATTAGGAGGATTAAGTATACTAAATACATATCTACTTTTTACATTTACTGAGTACTCTTACTCCGTATAGCAATCTTCCTCTGTATGTACGTGTACGTGAGGTAGTCGGACGCACACGCCCTTGCACTGTCAGCTATGCAGGGTGTATTCAGTTAGCTAAGTAAGGTGTGATCCGTTACAGTGTCGGTTTTGACCGTCGTTAATTTAAGCCTTTATAATCTTGGTGGAATTTTGTTTCCGGAACAAAAGAGAGGTTGAATGTGTGCCGAATGAGTTTATTTTAAAAAGATTTCATAAACAGGGATGGTTGTTGCACTATTCAATGGAGCAGTATAATTAAAGAAGTAGTTAAAATAACACTTAATTACCTTTATTGACAGGCACTATGTCACGTTTAGTGCTAAGAAGTTTTCTTCGTAAGAGTCAAGAGCCTTTATCTAGGCTCGTAGTCTTTGGCATTTTTGTGACACGTGATTTCTATGAAACGCTAGTCCCTTTAACTAGAACCAAAACCTTACTAACTTATTTGGATACTTAGTGTTGGGTCTCATTAAGTCTGTAAGGACTTGAAATTAAATTTAGCATCGTTAAGTTTAATGTACTAAGATGCTCAACGAGTCTACAAGCTTTCCTCTGACAAAGGACTTACGGGTATCTTCGATATACTTAGTCGTACTTGCATTCAATCTACACCTAATTATTTCAGAGACTCATGATCTGTAAGGATGAGAACAAATCTTGACCCCTCCGAGGCCCAGTGATTAGCGCTTGAGAATCTAAAAGCGTTCTTAGGATTAGAATTTCGATCTAATTCTTGCACAAGTTCAAGACGTGATTATTGGTCGTCCTGATTTCTTCACGTATGTTTAGTCCACTCTTTTTGGACATTTATATATTTGCTCGACATCTGCTATGCCTACTAGATAGGTCCCGATACCATATGAAGAGCATATGGCTTGCCACTTGTCTTGCGAGTGCAGACGTTTGAGGGAAAGGAAGATAAAATATCCTTTTATGGGTCCGAAAAAAAGTGATACTACCATGGAATCAGCCTTGTTATTTTTGGAGCCTATGAGCTGGTCTTGTTATTGTGAAATTTGGTTGTCAAGCCGAAATTTGGGATCTTACTTGTAGTACGTCCGTGGTCGAGGATCTCCACATACAAATCAGCTAAACCATCAATCGTCGTTAGTTTTTACCACACCTAATTAAGGCTTTATCTACTCTTCAAGGCAAGAAATCATAGGCGTACAATTTGAAAGAGCTGATAGATCTAATTGCTGCTATGCGGCTTGATCAGTAATGGTTCTGGCTACCGTCTTATGGGTCTTCGCTCTGGTTTATCTAGAACATGAGAATTCCGGTTTCACCCCATCTCCTTTGATGCGGCTGTGGATATCTCGTACAACGGTACGTTTAACATTACAAAAGCCCGTAATGGTGAACATGGGTATAACCTAAACTCATCGAACGCATATAGTTCATCCTATCAATTATGTCCTGTGGACCTCAGTATCATCCATACAGACGAAGTAGCTTCAAGTCCTGTAGAATCTTCGGGGTCTTCGCCGATGTTTCACATACGGGATTACAAAGCGTCTGCATTCAAATCTTCCTCTGCATAAATTACGACACTTCCTCAGTCAGAAATTTAGGCACTGATGGAAGCCTATTAATAATGTGGGAGCCATCGACTCCCAGTAGGCGCGGGGTACCCTACCGAAGAAGAGCGCGATTTTGTATATCCTAGTAGATAGACAGCACAGTTAAGTAGTATACAGCCCTAAAAATTTTCTTGCGCGCTGAAAAAAAGAAGCGGGAATACATTCCAGGATTTTTGGTCGCAAAAGAGACTGGTAGGAAATTTAGTAAGACCTGGTCGATGCTGACCGACTTCAGGGCGTCCGGTAGTTACGTCAGATATGGGCCCTCGAAGTTAATCGGCGTAACGCTCACTTCTCCTCGCAAAGCTTTGGAGATCTATGAGTCTACCTCTTCTAATTGCTATTGGCTCTAGTCAATGGCTGGATATGGCAGTGAGCTGGACATTGATATTTCAGAACTAGTTTCTTAACATATTTTAAACTATCTAGTATCAAGCAAAGCTTTTGGATTGATAGTTGTACGTCACGTAACTTGTTGAGTGTGATATTCGTTGTGATTAAGACTTGATGAATGCCGAAAGCATTGTTAACCAGACGTCGATTCATCGAAAGTTGGATCCATCATATGTGCGTGAAGTGGCACGTTTGTACCCATTGAGTGATGTAGGATGTGATAGCAACACACTAAATGTCGATCATATATGGGTCTTAAAGGTATCAATGCACCCAGACCTTGCACTAATTTATTCACTTTGGGTATTCCGCAATCCAATAAATGCCAAGTCAGAATTAAGTAGATCGTCAAAGGATATTGTTGATAGCATCCTCTCTCGTTTGATTAAGTATAAGCTGATGCATCTATCATCCAAACACGATTATTTTGACCTCTTTGAGGTGTTTGGACTCAATAATAACATCGACAATGAGCCACGAAGCGTTCTCTACGTCACACAGTGATAATGTAGTATATCTGTTTGCACTGTTTGGTTGATGTGATTAGTAACCCTGATTGATAGGTTATCCTTGTGGATGTTAGATCGTTGTGTGCTCCGTTTGAACTTTGTGTGTCAACTTATGAGTTAACTCGATTGTTAAAGGATCTTGAACAGTTAAGGGTGGTGGTGACTTGACCTCGTTACGTTAAATTCATTATCGCTTCTGGATAAGACTATTCTCGGGGACACTAAGGCGGCAACTAGTGACCGACTTAGATGAATAATCGTAAAGCTTGGATATCCTCGATACACCCTTTCATCCTTTGGTCAATAAAGTTTAGTATGTACCACCATACACCCTCGGTCTTAACTCCAGATAGAGGCGTACGTCATAACATTTTCTCGGGACTAAATGTTGTGTCACAAGACAGCGGCCCTTACAGAAAGAACAGTGTGATGTGACTAACTAATTTTTCCGTGTGAGCACGGGGCAGCAATATTACATAATAGCAATATTCCGCACTCAACATCGACAATTTTGTCGAAAAGCCGAATATAATGGGCGTTATTTTATTGATTTAACAAACCTCATGCGGTCACTATTTCGGCATGAAATTAAAGTTTTGAGAGGACGTTCCAATAAATGGATCTTTGTTAATACGATATACAGAGAAATTGACACCATGTGGATGTGTACTAAGAATTGCTCATGAGATAGAGTGGTCATCCGCTTACAAAAATGAGCATTCTGGGTGGGTCGCTACGTGAGTGGCTGATTGTACCCAAGGGATTTTGACGCTCTCGATAAATTTAATCGTCTGGCTAAGAATTTTTTGCTCTCATCGGGGTATGCACATACATACTTAGTTGTGTAAATAGTCCCACAGCACAAGGAAGGTCGGAAGTGACATTCACTTCGACCTACCAATATTACTTGCGTGAAAGCACGCGAATAATTCGTATTACAATGCATGTGAATGCATCTTAAGTGCGAAGGAGATTCCCTTCAAGGTTCCTTTATTGATAAGCGCAGTTAAGAGCGGAGCCCGCTAAGTTCAAAGCTATAACTGAACGGCTTATATCTAGGAACCAAAAGGACTCATGTTAGTGTATTGGACTGGCCGTTACTCACAGGGCTAAGCCATTTCCAAATCTCCGTAAGAAGGACACAAAAGGTTGCTGGAGCATAATCCATGCTAACACGTTTCGAGCAGTAAAGGAGAGTCTACCCCATGCGACAATTTTAGCGCGACCTGATCCTAAGATTGTTTTAGTGTCGTCCGTGACGCATCTAACTTAGCCCCAGGAATATCCCTAGTGCAAACACGTGCTGAAGTCCGTGAGCAAGCCCCCGCTTTCTGAATCTCGTCAGCTCAAATCTGCTCAAAGCATCGAGATCATAAAAGATGGTAACTTGCCATGAAGTATAATATCGTCAAATTT